ATATATAAGATCAGACACTTTTTCTGATTTGTATCATGCTAATTTATAAATGAAAATGTGATGTGGTTTTTCCTGAAGGCCATAAATGCCGTATAATTGCCACTAAACTCGCCTCCATTTGTTTCATATTTCCTGTCTTCTTCTGCAGAAGTCTGAGCCGACATGGGGAGCAAAGCCCTGCACGCTCCGATCCCCCTGCACCCAGCCCTGCAGCTCACCAACTACTCCTTCCTGCAGGCCGTCAACACGTTCCCGGCGGACCAGCTGCAGGGGCTGTACGGCCTGAGCGCGGTGCAGACCATGCACATGAACCACTGGACTCTGGGCTATCCGCACATGCAGGGACTGAGGTCGACGATCACGGCGGCCGCCCAGGGCCTGRTGGACCCCAGACTCCCCTTCCCGGCGTTGCCTTTCACGGCCGCCGCGCAGCTCTTCCACCCGAAGCAGGCCGCCGCCGCCGCCGCCGCGCACGGCGTCCCCGCGCTGCACAAGGACAGACCCAGGTTYGACTTCGCCAACCTGGCCCTCGCCGCCACCCAGGAGGACCCGCCGAAAGCTGCCCACCTGGCAAAGCTGGCGTCGGGCCTCGGGGGCAGCATCTCCGAGCTGAGCAAGCTGTCCCCGGACCGGAAACCGACCCGGGGCCGACTCCCRTCCAAGACGAAAAAGGAATTTATTTGCAAGTTCTGCGGCAGACATTTCACCAAGTCTTACAACCTCCTGATTCACGAGAGGACCCACACAGACGAGCGGCCTTACACCTGTGACATTTGCCACAAGGCCTTCAGAAGACAAGACCACCTCAGAGACCACAGGTAAAGCCGGTTCACGAGCGCTTTTTTTGCGCCAAAACGCTCACCGTGTTTTCAAACTAAAAAAACAACATCATCAAACATCACTTTTTCCAAATCCATTTCCTACATTTGATTTACAACCACAGCTCACACGTTCACTTCATTTTACTTTAAATGCACAAATCTGTTCCTGCAGCTCTCTACATGAGGGCGCTAAAACCCTTCATAAATTACGCAGCACTTTTTTTAACTTAAGGCCATTTGAACACAGTGAATGTGAGGAAACACCTGTAAGCAGGAGCATGACGCTGATTACGTGTCGTTTTTCTGTTTCCCAGATACATCCACTCCAAGGAAAAACCCTTCAAATGCCAAGAATGTGGGAAAGGCTTCTGTCAGTCTCGAACCCTGGCGGTGCATAAAACCTTACACATGCAGGTAAGCCCTGAGCACGAAGAGTGATCATTGGGATGTGACTGCTGCATGCACGGGGATATAAATCACTCTTAATAACAATAATAAAAGAAAATTTTAAAATGGCCAAAAAACCCATAAGTATATTAGATGAACGTCTCTGTGGAAAAAAAATCAATGATTTAGAGCTAAAACATACAGCTTCTGCATTTAAAGGGAATAATCCTTTGCTTGCTTTAAATCTAAACAGGAGTCTCCCCACAAATGCCCCACATGCGGAAGAACCTTTAATCAAAGAAGTAACCTGAAAACTCACCTTCTCACCCATACAGACATCAAGCCCTACAGCTGTGGCCGCTGCGGAAAGGTGTTTCGGCGCAACTGTGACCTGCGACGGCACAGTTTGACGCACAGCCCGCATCAGGACTACTAGCCCCGGACAAACTAACAAATAATAATAATAATAATTATAATAATTATAAAAGAAAGGAAAAAAATATGGACAAAGCCCAGGGAGGACAAAAGCAGCGACATTTTTTTTTTCATCAAACAGACTTTTGGAAGGAGGACAACGTTTTACTGTTGGCTCCTCTGAGGGACAGCAGCTTCCTGCCCACCTGTAAATATAATGTACAAAATGTTGTTTATTGTTGTTGTTGTTTTTCCTGACTCTGAAATGTTAAAAGTTGTGAACAAAACTGTTATAAGTTTAAAGTATGCTAAATTGTATTGTAGAAATAAATATTTCGGCGACACTCTTGCTCTTGTTCTGGTTTATTTATTTATTTGTTTATTTATTTTTGGTGACTTCCTGGCCACAGCGGCACCGTGTGACCAAATTATTCCTGATCTGAGTGGAAACCATGCTGAACATTTCAAAGGTGTTTTTTTTTTTTTTTTTTTTTTAGCTGTTTGAAACTGCGGACCTTTGACTTGCAGGTAAATTTGAAGCAGAGTTATAAAAGTGTGGTGACGTCAGAGGCTGATAATATTAGTGGCCATATCTCACCTTTATCTGCCTCTGGCCACCTCTGATTACATTATTGACTCAGAGCGGAAGAAGTCACCTGATCTGGAGGGTTTTAGTAGAAATCTTCAGCGGATAAGAAGAAATCTGACTCYTTTTTTTAAATCAGTTTCTCTGCTGCTCATCTGGTGTTTAAAACATTAACATTTGGACCGTTKGAAATGTTTTGGGAGATAATAATTTTAGCAGATGATTCAGGTTTAAGGGCCCTACATGTCTTGCCTGTCGGTGTGGATTTCATCCAGTTAAACTTTGACCATCGGGAGCTGCGGGCCGGACCAGGAAGAGCTGATGGAGCAGAGCAGGCTTTTATTTTATTCAGCTGATCTTTGTGTTTTTATGCCTCATGGCCTTCAGGCCCTCAGCTTCAACAGCTAACAATTGAATGCACCATTGTTTTTTTTTTAACCTGGTATTTATTTTTACTTAAAAAAGGAGGAAACATTTTTTAAAAAATGTGTGGCAAACATCCTGATTCGCTGTTAAAGACCAGAGAAACACCTGTTGTTTGACCGCAGCGGGTTAATAATCATTTTATTTTCAAAGAGGAAATCAACACTTAGACTAATGAAATAAAGAAATACTGAAATTAATTAGTTCATAAATAACACGAACGAAAAAAAAACAAGTTTATATTTTAAGAAAAAACTGAGAAGCTGTATAATTATATTAAAATACACGATGTCTTAAAAAACGGAAAAAATACAGAAACACTTTAATGTAAACAAATTTTCATTTTAAAATTTGAACTATAATAA